TGTGGATGATGCCAAGGTCTGCTGCCACCTGGAGCAGTACCCAAGCTTTCCTCCCTCTTGGCCATAGGGGTCAAGTGCCTGGATCACTGGGCACTCTGAACCTAATTCTGAGGAACAAATTCTCTATGTCACCACCACTCTGGAATATGGAGCTCTGTGACTTTCTCCTCAAAGCAAAGTCTTTCATCCTTGCAGGTTTGAGGATGCAAAGGGTGGAGACTTGCTGCTTCTGATGATGCCCTCAGGCCATCTTTTTGATTCTCTTGTTCTTTTTCAGGAAGCAAGATCTCCTCAGCTCTATCTTTGCAGACCATAGCTTTACTGAAGCTTTCCTTCTTGCCAGACTCGCAATGTTTTAAATCATCCTGCTGAGCTGTTTGCTCTTGTTTCTCAACATTGATCTTGCTAAAAGCCCCCAACAAGAACCATGCCACTGCCTCAACATTTGACTGCCTTGAAATTTCTTCTGCCAGATTAATTAGTACCACCCTTAATCTCAGTTTTAGGCAAAGTCTCTGGACACGAGCAAAATGCAGACAAACTTTCTGCCAAGCCATAACACATCATCTGGAGTTCAACAGTCAATGCAATCTTTCTTGCCAGTAGAAACCTCCCAAGCCAGGTCTTTACTGGCAGGATTTCTATCAACCTTCTGGTCTTCTGAACTCTGACCAGAATCTCCCATACAGAATAGCTGAAGGTATCCCAGTTCTATTCTTTCAGGTAACATCTCTGAACCTTTTCAAACTCTTCCCACAAGCCATTCCCAAAGGCTCTTGAACCACATGGTCAGGTATAGTCACAGCAATGGCCCCACTCCTTTGGTACTAAATTCTGTCTTGGTTACTTTTCTCTCCTTGCTGAGACAAAATACCCAAGGCCCACAATTTACGAAAGAAAAGTTTATTTAGGTCACAGTTTGTGGGGGTTTCAGTCCACACTTGGCTGGCTCCAAGGCAGAGTGGCACATGGCACAGAGCAACCATTCATGGTGGAGGAAGACAGCCAAAGCAGCAAGACCAAGAAGGAAGAGTGGGTGGGGAGAGCACACTTATACTGTGTGCAAACTATCCACCCTGGGGTGGGGATAGCACTCACATCCATAATTCCAGCATTGGACCATGAATCAATCATAAACTCTAAAAGCCTGCCCCATGACTGCATGAGGTTTTGGGGGAAAATCCAGACACAAACTACAACAGTGAGTCAGCAGTTCTATATCCTGGCATGAGAAGGACATGGCCTTCCTGCACTAGGGTGTTTTTTGGTATTCATCCTGAGCCTGTGCAAGAGGAGGGCACTGAGATGGTGTGGGCATAGATGGATTGCCAGGTATGGACTCAAATGTCCACAAACTGTAAGCTAAATAAACCTTTCCTTCCTTAATTCTGGGTGTCAGATATTTTGCCTCAGCAATGAGAGAAAAGTAACCAAGACATATGTCATGTGTTGTGATATAGTTAAACTTCCATGCTTGCTCATATTTCGTTATATATTTCATTGCCTCTTTCTTTGCTGAATATAGTACTCTCCAGGATCATGTTTTCTTTCAAGAGTTTTATATTCCTGGCCTATCCATTAAAATTTGGTCATTTTTCAGCTCCAAGATGTTTGATCTCAGTGCTCATAAATATTAAGCAGTGTTTTCCACTTCTTAGTGTCAAGTCAAACTATGTACAGTTTCCTGATAGAGCATAATAATTAAAGTGTATTCAGCTTATGACATCCAGGAACAAGTGTCTTTACTGGAACAATCTCATCTGTCAACTGGCTCCCCCAGAGAGGGTCCTCTAGCAGGTGTATCCAACTATCATCTGCTTTCCTTTGCTCACTTTTCTTTTGAAAGAAAAGGAACTATCTCAGGCTGCAAATAAGATGTAAAATGTGGTTAATGTATACAAGTAGCAAGGCTTAATTTTTGTAACTTTTATTATAACTTTAAAAAACAGCAAACAGAAAAGCAGAGGTAGGCTGCAAGTCAAACACAGGATGTGTGCAGGTATACCAGGGACAGCAGAGAGGTCTGAGTATCCGCTGAGTTACCTGAGGCCCTTGAAAGGAAAGCTGCATCTGCTGTGGATGAGTTGATCTTTATTAAGGCAGGTCAGAGGGTTGGAAACAATCAGGTGCTCCGTGGTGTAATGAGGTAAAGGCAGTTCATAAATTAGGAATTCCAAATAATTGCAGCATGTAGCACAGTATGTCAGCCACCATCGCTCAACAGAGGACCCCAAAGGTGCTCCAGTCACTGCTTGATCGTGGAGAGACCATGAGATGGCAGTGAGCTTTGCAGCCCGCCTTCTGGGAAGTTTTTCCCCTTGTCTAACGAGAGGCCTGCTTTTACTACCAGTCCAATCTGAAATTGAATCGGTTCCCCACTGATCTAAATTCTCCAATCCCATTTCTTACCTTAGGTTTATGTCAAACTTGGACATTTTCTTTGGAATGAATTAAACCAAGTTCTTTAATCAGATCCCCAAGTTTACAGATGTTCTACTTAATTGAAACACTTTTGTGTAACACTTCTCCTCTGTTTCCTATGAAATATGAAAAATGCTTTAGATTTATTCTTCCTGAAGATTTTAAACTATGCAAACCACAGAAACCTAGGCCTATACTCAGATTTTATACTAAAGTGACATATGATTTTAGGTATATTTTTATTTTTTAAAAATTTTCACTGGGGCCTTGGTGGCTGCCCGGCATACCCATAGTGTGTCTGCTGGAGCTGGGCTGAACCTGGAACATCTTCAGAAAGCCCAGTGAGTCGCGGTGGTGCCTCTCTGACCAGCGTGCAAGGCAGGCAAAACCTCAGGTGCCCTCTGGGGCCTTGGAGGCTCCCTGTCACACCCACAGTGTGTCTTCTGGGGCTTGGCCTAACATCAGACACATTTAGGAACCCCGGTGAGTCACTTTGTGCCTCCCCCTCTAGGGTGTGAGGCACACGGATCCCTGGACAACTTCGGGGGGCTTGGTGGTCACTGCCAGAACAACTCACCCCCCGGTAGCTCAGCTGAAACCTGGACAGAGTCAGCGGCCCCTGGGAGTCCACCCTCACCCCTCCCCTTCCAGTGTTGGAAGCAGGCTCTGTCCAGGGCAATATCTGAAGCCTCAGTGAATACGACCTGCATCCCCCTTACTCTTGTGGAAGCTGGACTGACCCCCAGACAGTCTCAGGAACACCGGGAAGCCTCCCCCGCCCTTCCCACACATGTCTGGGAGCCAACTGAATGCAAGAAAGTTCAGGAGCATCTGGGACCCCACCTTGCCACCACTCACCAGCACAGGAGTTGCACTGAGCACTGGGGATCCTCAGACTGTCACCCTGCCACTCACACACAATCAGGAGAGGGAAATATGACATTGCTTATTTAGAGAAGCTGATCTACAGATAAACTTTAACCGTTTTTTGCCAGTAGCCATAGAACATTTCCTTATTCATCTAGATACTTTCCACTTATGATGCTCAGTTGTCTCTTCAGGCTGTGGCATACCTAATTTCATTTCCAGGATTTACATTTCTACCTTGGATTCAATGACCAATAACCTTTTCAGGAACTGCTTGTTTTCTTTCATTCTCCACATTAGACATTAGGAAAAGACTCACAGGAAAACTATGAAACTAACATAAAATTTTTACTATAGTTGTGTGAAAAAGATAAACTAAAAATATTACAATGTGACATAAAGACATTAATTATCTGCTGACATTCTGTCTGGACCTGGTACAAGCAATCATGAATAAACAGCATTCAGTCTGTTTTATTAGCGAGGGAAGCATGCAAACGTGTAAAGGCCTGAAGGGAAACTTAATAGTCCAGTAGGAATCTCTCTACTTCAATTCTAATAAGTGCCAGTATGAATGAATATGTGAGCTCATTAAGATAGTATGACAAAATTGTAAAAGGGGCTTGATAGGAAGTCTTCTTAACACAGTTATGTACTTTATAGAAATATGCATTTTTGTGCCAATTTATGAAAAATATAGGACACATTCTTAATACAAAAGAGTTGACTGGTGATTTTGGATACCATACAGACATTAACAAATGATGTCTTGAAACAAGCCACATTCGGCATTAATATTTTATTAATTTTCTAAAAAACTGAAGTGATTTATGACTCAGTGAATCTAGAAAGAAAATAATAAAATTCAGCTATGTTTTTAGTTGTACATTTTCACTCTAAAGAGACAACTAATCTTTTAATTACTTTCCTTTTTAAAGAGTCTTACAAAGTAATCACAATAATCTTAAATGTAATGTCATATTCCATTTCCAGCATGGGAACTTATAGCATTCGATATTAATTATAGTTAGAACCTAGATGACATCATCACTTAGGAATACCAGTCGCATTTTCTGGTCCTTTTACAGGATTAATAAAAAACCCTCTGGTGTACAGCCATCCATGGATGTTTTCAAGTAACAAGCAAAATGCCCTTTTTACTACATAGTTATGATTCTTTTGAAAATAGTACTGCAATCTGTATTTTTCATTCTGTGTCTCACATGAACAAGTTTACCTGCAAGGTCATATTCTTGGACCACAGTGTGATTAAATTTCCTAAATCATTTTTCTATTTATAAGTACTATAATTTATTTACTTTTAAATGATAATTATAAGTATACATTCACCACACAAATTAATGTCTTCCTGTGATATTTCCAAACCCAAAACATCACACCTTGATCACTCCCATCCAGCCTCCTTCTTTTTACCAGGAGTTTTGGTAGTGAAGGAGCCGACTCGCAGGTTTCATGGGAGCTGCTTTCTGCTGGGGTACAGTCTGTGTAATGAGTAGAGATAGCTGAGTATTGTATAACTCCTGTGTCAGCTCAGAACTCTTACCAATACGTTCTATGAGAATATAACTGGACATTTTTCACCTACTCTCAGCTCAGTTTTTATTACCTAGAGCACAGTAAAATTCATAGTTACTTCAAACTTTCCTAAAGAAAGGACAAAGAAATAGAAACCTTCCAATGCCTGCTCTGTTCTACAGAGCTCTCCAGCATTCTCCCAGGTGGCCATCTCTGTGAATCAGTACAAATGGGCTGACAACTGCATAACCAAGGGTCACAAAATTCCGAATATTAAATAACATAAAATTATTCTCCAGGAAAGAATTAGTAAACAGAGCAAAAACACAGTCAGTCCAATAAAAGAAAACAAAGCAAAGCATCAAAAGGAGAACACTTTGAGTAGCTTTGACCTCAGGGGGAGATTTGTAGAGAG